GTGTGTAGAGTATCACATACAATTTATGAATTCAATTGTTTACATCTTTTGTTTTCTTTCTTTATTAATCGGGAGGGAGAATGGAGCTGTTCAAAACCCCGCGAAGAATACATTCCTCTTCTCACTGAGTGTGACAGAAGTGTGACCAAGCTCTATAATATAAGTACTTAAAGGTCACTTAATTTAACCTCTCAACTTCCAAGCGCTCAACTCATCTGGATCCGTCAGCTTTGTTGGTCAATGTGTTTGTACTGTTTGATTGTTTGCATGTTTGTTTGTTTGAGAAGCATATGGACCCGAAAACAGCCGCCTCGGAGGGGCGGGGGTTGGGGTGGGGGAGTAAAACAGTCTTTCAGACAGACAGACAAAAAGTACAGCGCCACCAGAGGCACAATACCTTCCAAACTAGTCTTTCTCTTTCTCCCATTTCCTACCAGCCAGCGTCTCAAGTAGAACGGACAATGGTTATAACAGGTCTGTGGGGACCGACGTGATCTCCATTATTGCCAAACCCTGTTATAGACGGGAACACGTTTACATACACTGTAACTAACTACATGACAAGTGGGGTCGTTTTTCATTAACTTCAAAGATAACCCACTTCTAATATACATGTATCAGTTATTTCTCATTGGTGACCTAGCGGTTAAGCTACTGGACCCGTAATCGTCAGATTGCCAGTTTCCGGGGGTTCGAGCGTCAGCTCGGTCCAACGTTGTGTCCTTGGGAAATGCACTTAGCACGAATGTCCCAATTGGCTCGGTCCTTTCGGAGACAAACATTAAACTAGGAAGTCCCGCTTCTCAAACAATCTAATACTGTTGATAAGGGTGTTAAACCTATACCATTTCGCCATTACAGTTATGTCTCCTTTCTTTTGTATTGATATCATTTGCTCTTCATCCTTGTATTACATTTTCTAGTTCCTTAAGTTCAAGCTTTCATTCAATCTCTCTTTCCCGTTCCACGGGGAGAAAATACATGCACGACAATACGGTGCCAGGCCGAGGTCATACTAATTGCTTACTGATCCCATAATGTACGAGGATCGTAGGGGCGCTGTATGAAGTGCCTCCACTTTTCACGTTCTTTTTTTTGCGAGCACCTATAGGAGTTTGGGCGAAGGATTTCTTTGTCCACTCCGCATTGTCGTCGGTCCACCTCTTCTTTTGCCTTCCAGCCGCACGATCTTGTTAGACGGCCATTCCATGTCAGTTTTCTTTGCTTAACAGTAGACAGCAAGAAATGGCTCATGTGTTGTTTACTCCACAGCACTCGAAACACTGATTGAAAAATCTTGATTAATACCAATGCACCTATCTCAGTCCACTGTGATAGGCATATATGTCAAGGCACATCATATTCAACTTCGGCCTCTTGCGGGTCACGTATGTACAATTCGACATGGATTTTTACTTTGCTTCATTTATATTTTTCTGCTTTCTTGTATGTTTTAAAATTTTGTCAACAGTTGGACCACTGTTATAGCCCCCCCTCCTCTTTCTCTCTACCACACCCCTCTCTCAAGCACAAACACCAATACATACACGCTCACACGCGCTCACACACACACACACACACACACACACACACACACACACAAACACACACACACACACACACACACACACACACAC